GGTACGACGCCCCGTCCGGTTTTTTGCCCCATTTACTACCTCATGTCAATGCTTACGTACTCGCAGCGCGTTCCAACTTCTTTTCTTTTCTCTTTCTTCTTTCTCTTCTTTCTTTCGTTCTCTTCCTAGGGATGGTCAGTTCTTGAAGTTACTAGCATTCAAAGATACTTACAGGGACCTCAAATGAAGGGTAAGGTCTCCATTAGAGGGTTCAGTACATATTATTTCTTGCAGACTCATGAGCCTGTCTTGAATGAAGCCTCATGATATTCACAAGTGTTGCAGAGCGTGTAAACCTTGTAGGAAATGAAATCTCAGACCACGAGTTGACCCCTTCTCTGAAATACCTAAGATCTTCATGCTTTGATTAGAAATCGACGAGGCTCTTGAGTGTTTGAATGAAATTCAATGAGAAAGTTGATATTCACGCGAAGAAATCACCTTGGCTGCAGAGGTATGGCATACTAGATTAGATGTTTAGAGTGGGAAAGTTTTTAGTCATTTCAGTTATAAACACTGAAGCTATGTTTGCCTAGATTGAATTACGCATCCAGTCCTTCCATTCAATGTTTTCATTAAATTATTCATCATTGCAGTTTTCCATCGATCCGCAAGAGTGTCGTCGCATTCATTCGTTCCCTACTTCGTCCATGAACCCCTTAATGAAATAGTGAGATCAATGATCTTCTCTGGTTTACTTATTTAGTTCGACTAATCTAAAGTTTGGGTTTAGTGAGAGATAAGCTTCTACTCGGAGCCAAAACAGCACCGCACTTATGAATCGGAGGGCTTTGTCCTGCTTACCCTTCCTTGCAGAGTAGATGAAGCCACCCAATCGTCGAGCTATGGGCAGTCAGTCTCAATAATAGTTGACGAGCTAGGCCCGACCGTGTAGTGACTCCTTCTCCTTCCAAAAGAGTTTGACAAAACAAATGGAAAAGAGACCTCGGCTAGAGGTGTTTCTGCCCTTGATCCTACCGAAGAATGTTCTTTTGAGTGGTGTCAGATCTGCATAAAAAGGTAATTGCACTGCTTCAAACATAGGCTGACTTCTGAAAACCGTAGCTGGCCCGAAACCTCATTCGAACTCATGTAATACTTTTTATGGAAATTGGTGACGTTACGATGAGTTTGAAACCTTTATCTCAGCAAGTAGATCTGCTTGAATAGAGTGGAGTATTCTGGCCTTCATCGATCCCCCTTTGAGATGCATATCCGCATTCGGCTTCTATACAGATTTGTTGGGGCTTGGAATGCATATGTGGTCTACACAGTGAACAAAGGGGTACAGTTGATGTCCATGTCGGTGCTTCTACTCTCCCAGACGAGTCTGGTACTTCGTAACCATGCTGGGTGAAAGTAAGGGCTGATTGGTCTGGTTAGAATGTGCACGGAAATCACTCACGTGATATGAGACTTCAACATATTCTTCCAAGCCTCCTGAGAATGTATACTAAATCGCAGCATCTTATTACTCAGAGCTTATCCCCCATCCCGTTCAGAAAAAGTAAAATAGTATGTTATGAGTTTTATTGCTAGAAGATGTATCATTCCGCTTTTTTTCTGTTGTGATGAATAAGTCATACGTTGTTTCGTATAACAACTTAATCAACCTCCTGCATGCAACATTCATCACTCTTGCCGCTCTGGAAAAACTTATTCGCCCTCAACCCTGCTGCGGATAACCGAATATGAACGATCTTGACAGGTTCATTAGTATCGCAATTACTCTGCTGCAGAGTATTGCCCATCTCGGTGGTGATGTATGGGAGCGGCTCGAGAGTTCCCATTCATTGCTTCCTCCACCCAGACTGCCGAACTCGGCTGCGTTTCCTTCTGATATGCTTCTCTTTCTCATTTTTAGTGCGCAGATTTTTCGCCTCACAGGTAATCACAACTGGTTCGCATAGATCAGGGCTTATGGAGGGCTCAAAATGGCCCGATGCCACCGGAAGGAATTCGTCGATAGGGCTGCTGTTAGTACCCCTGCCTGCGCACCGAACCTGGCCTTGACAGCACAAACTATTCGCTCCGAAAAAAAAACCTATAGGGGTACTAAAGTTGTAACCAAAATTGAGCTTGCTCTAGAAGATCGTAATAGGCTATACATTTATGAGAGTTCCTCAGCATGAGTACATCCCAAAGGGATCGATCAATACTGCATGTTCTATACTTCTCCAATTTCCTCATCTCTCGTCACAATTTTCTAGGATACTGTAACTCTAATAGGGAAGAATTATTTTCTTTTTCTGCCGATGTCGTTCAGTCTGGGCACATAACATTGCGCTTGGACATATGGGTTGTACATCACAACAATGTGGAGTGCCGTTCTTTCGAATGTTCGAAGGGGAGGCCTTGCACTTGTGACAAGCTTGTCGTGCAGAGTACCAAAAAAGTGTCATGCAAACTTTAGTCAGAACGTCCATTAGCTGGATGAAAGCTCTCAAATCATCGCTTCACCTTTGATTTCTATTTATCAAAAATCATTCTCGAAGATTATCTTGCAGGATCAGGTCCCTCGATATCAAAAGAGGTCTCTATCACTGTCGTACTTACTCATGAATGCCTGTAAAAAATCCGCCGCAATAGACCTAGGAGACCTTTTTTTCCAAATTACTTCATTTATCAAGTTGCAACCCTTGTAACACCACTTTTCAGGCATTTAAAGCAACACTGTGGCCCACATGGTCACTGCACTGAAATGAGAGAAAAGAATTTCAGTCTTCCTTCTCTTTCTTCCTGTTCTTCTTCAAAATTCCTTTTGTTTCAGCATCTTTTCACGATTTCTCATCCTTTGCTAACCCGAACAGCTTCTACAAAGTCTGTAAGTAGTACAAATAGTACAACTACATAACTCCTGAAGGGCAGTTCACCATAAGAGCGGTTTCTGAGATCCCCCCTAGTGTGATGCTGTGGTCTCCAAGGAGCCTGTGAGACATTGTCGGTTCAGGGTTGAGAAGTAACCTCGACAGACCGCTATAAAGGTTCAAATCCCGCTTGACCGACGTACACGTTCGAAAATGGCAGTGCCAGGATAACCTTTTGAGACAGTGTCATTCACAATGAAGCATCAGGACACCGACGGGTAGTAGCCTATAGGAGGAGACCCAGACGACTACAGAGATGCAATCTCGTCCGGCTCCCTTTCTTGCTACTTTTTTGAAGCCTTATATTTCGTAAATTTCGTCGTAATTCGCCATTTTGCACTATTCCGCGTCATAATTTCCATTATTTCACTCAAGCTTGATTGCTCAGAATTATCGTTAACCAGGCCTTTGAGAGGCATTTTTTCTCACTTTTTTCTTACTCCCGTCCAAGCTCTCGGGTAGATATGGTTGGGGAAATAAATGATAAGCAAATACAATAATGAAAACCAAGGAGATCCGGATTAGGTTTCCGCGAAGAGCTATATCGTGTATACCAATTTGCGTGACAGGTTTTTGTCTTTGGCTACCTACAAATGCTAAACCATCGAAACTTCGTTTATCGCTTACCTTTACCATTTCCATCAAGGCGAAAACCAACGCTAAAGGCTTTGCTCGCTTACAGGTTAGTTCTCTCGACCGGAGCCAGCATAGGTCCCCCGTTATCCTGTGTTTTGGCCATCGTATTCGCCATTTCTTGTATGACCAGTTACCGTAATCCCTATCACAAGCTTCAATCACAATGGACCACATAGGACCACAATCGGTCACATCAACTTCCAATGAAGGAAACAATCGAAAGCCTAATGCTAGTCTAGCCTCAGTTTACCGAGACATTTCTGAAAGTGTTGGGAATTGGCAGGAAATCACTAAAATCTGGGGTCAAAGTACTTGGAAACTCCTCTCCCATTCAGGCGGGTTAACCTCCACTGCCAAATTGAATCCTCATCACCTGCAAATTGCACTACTCGATTAGGGAAGACGGAACATTCACCTAGAACTGGATGAACGCTACAAACCGCGCGGCGAAATTCGTGGTGATTGAACTCTAGCGCCTAACATTGGAACACAAATTTAAAGTGGGATAGATAAGTAGTATCAGCTGGCCCTACTTATCCAATCTACATGAAACCCGTGCCTCAATGATAGGCGCCAAAGCCGTTTTTATCCCCAGAATTCCGTCGCGCCGTTTGCCGCGTCCATCCAGTTCTGGGTGAATGTACCCATACCCCTCGATTAGTTCAGACAAGTTCTTGGACCAGGACAATAATCTTTCCACCGTTTAACAACTGCTGTTGACTTCAGCTCTACTCTGGATCCTCCGAGTAATTTTAATGGGATCCACTGTCGCCAAATACCTTCCTCCTCGATCACCGTGTGAAGAAGTAAAGAGCGCATTGAATAAAAGCAGTCAGGGAGGTGTACATTTCAATACAGCATTTCTTACTTTCTCCTTCAAATCTTTATTGTCTTTAATCATTCTTCTCTGATCATTCGTCATAACCATTCGCTTGATCGGCTCCAGAGGCGTAATAAGGCGTGATCCTATAGGTACGAGCCTCAGGCTCCTTTAGCTCAAGGCAGAAGCTCTGTCATTTCAATGGAGCCCTTTTAGGAATGCTCTTTATGTGTCTGCAATACGAGAAGATCCTATTTTACAAAGCTTTTTTATGTTTTCGTAAAATGATACATCTGAAGCTACAGTAGCTGTCTCACGATTATAATTGAGAGAGCGAGAAGATCCTCTTAAAAACTCTATATAATGGCTGGTTCGTTCTGAGAAATGGCATATTCTCTTGCATCCGAGAAAAAAGACCCTAATAACCAATTCTCTGGAAAGATGCATCGTCCAAAGCCATATGTTCTACCCTATTCAAAGGCTAATACGTGCCTCTGAATAGACTCAAACATAGCGCTCTTTGTAGGAGTGTGACTGCACTCTCACAACGACGTTTGGCTCATTCAAACAGGTCCTCTGTCATAGCGTCATTTTCACAACTCACATAATCNAATCCTTTTCCTGTCTCCCACTGAACTCACACTGTTGTTACCTCGGAATTTGCCCTCCTTTTTCAGTTTGATCGAGCCGTGCACCGCCTTTACGCCGATCCGGGACAAATCTGTGCCAATCAGCTAGCCGATCGCCTTTTTCAACGCCTCTATTGGGCATTTCGAACTATACAATTTAAGATTTTTTACAAGAACGAAGGTCAGTTTGTGGTTTTCGACAGAATGTAGCCATTGACTGACATGTCCTTTATAGAGCTGGACGTGGAAGAATTCACCGAACGCTGTGACGTCGGCGTACGACCGCCGCCGCTCGAGGAACTCGCCAGAACGACGCGATTCAATCGTCGGTGGATCAAGTATATGTACGCTAAATTCAAAAATGTAAGCACAATCCTATCGAGTACGTCAAGTGGTCACAGGAGGACTCGAGAAGAAGATTTTTTGTTTGCTGTCAGTTCTTTCCACGATAGAATAATTTCCAGTTGTTACACACGAAAGGGGCTTCCCTTGTGCTGCTCCCTTGTCATCTCTCCTTTCGCTTTTCTCCTATCACTGAAGAAATGTCGGCATTTGCATGACAGTCTTCCCCTCGACATTTTTATGACAAAATTGTTATTTATGTTCAAAGTATAGAACTTCAATGGCAGGTCGAGCAAGCCAGATTGCAACGATGTGGACATCAGTTGGTCGCCATTCCTCTTGTTTGCAAACAAAATGTCCCATTAATAAAGGCACAGCTCACGATAATTCTGAAGTATCTAGTTTGTTGAGGGAACCATGGTGCAAACAAGGCAAGGGTGACGAAGAAATTCTAAAATCGGCGGATTTGGAAATACAAGGTTTTAGAAAAAGTCTCTTCCACATATGCGTTCTATTCGTCGGCGTTCTGACGCTTCATTGTGAATGATGCAGCCTCAACAAGGCCATTATAATACGGATACTTTTGAGTGTGTACGTCGGCCAAAATTGTTTTGGAGCCACTGTTACGCCCTTTAACGTCCCTTTTTCGGCCCAGCAATGTTCCATGTGCTATCCTTGAGGGCCGCATGTTTACTCAGGAAGAAATCTCATTAGTCATTTCTAATGTGAGCTGTGCCTTTGATTGGAAACAGGTGCGTTGCATTGTGCAGGCCAGTTACACATCTATACAATAGGGTTTGAGAACGATAGAGGCGGATCTCAAGGGGATTTAAGCGGACGAGCTAATTTATACTTTGCTGCTTTGGAGCAGTGCTTAATAGAGCTAGTAGTACTAACGGTGTGAGCATATACGCCCAAGGAACGTGATG